AAACTATTATTGCTTACTTAATATTTATGTTTTAAACATTATTTTTTTACAACTTTTCTATTTCTTTTAGTAATATTTTTACCATCTGAAAAATATTTTCGTATATTATTCAATTTTTATATATATTATTAAATTAACCTTTATTTTGTTTTACAAGCTTCGCTTTGACACTCATATATATTGTATGCATGAATAAAAATAATTTTCCAAAGTATCATCTGATAGTGATTTAAAACAAGGAATTAATATCAAGTTATTTATACAATAAAAATAAATGTATATATAATAAAATATATTTATTACATTAACAAATAATATTACATAATTTATTATTTAATATCTATTAATCATTTGCTTTATTTATAATTTATTTGCATAATTTATATTAATTAAGTAATAAATAATATTAACATGCATTAAATACTTTTATTACATAAAATAAAAATAAGAAGAAGATATTGCTATAACTGTATAAATAATCATAATCACATTTATAACAATAAATTTTATAATAAAATAATAACTAAATATTATGTGGTGAACAAGAATAAATAAAATTGTTGTTTTTTCTTATATCAATGAACAAATAAATGTACTATAATCAAATTGTTATTAGTATAAATATATTTGTATGATGATATATTAATTAATTCACAGGCTAACGCTAACTTGTTCAAGTTTAAAGCTTTGGTTGGCTCAAGTTGAACGCTCTGCTAGAAAAACAACTCTGGTTAAAAGAGTTGGAAAAGAGAAGATCCAACTCTTTTTTTCAAGACCAAGAGAAAGACCATATGAAAATGAGTCATTTAACATCTCTGAAAGGTTGAGAATGTATTAGGCCTAAGAGACAAACTATATGGTAATGACGCATTTAACATCTCTGTCTCGTGCATTGCACGGGCTACGTACTAGTTAGACTTATAAGGTGAGTCTATTTTCTATGTATGAACGATGTGGGACAACTCACAAGTGATATTCTAACAACCTGCCAATAAACCCAGATTATTCTAGACGACAATGTAAATAACGAGAGATGTTACGGTCTCGTTGCGGGACCATTCTTTCCGAATTTGTAATCGTTAGATCATCAACTATCACCGACGGTTACATAATAATTTAACGGTTACAAACCTCGACAGAATAGTTTCGTAAGGAGATAGTAGAATTTTGGTAAATTAGAAGTTCGGAGTGGGACACAGTTCTCCAGCAAAGTTCCGTTAGAAAATGTTTAAATGATGTAAATTAAAAAGTTCAAAGTGGGACATACAAATAATGCACGTTTAGTTGTACCAAATTAATAATAATAATAATAATAATAATAATAATAATAATAATAATAATAATAATAATGCACGTTTAGGACTTTTGAACAAATAATGTCAAGGTTTTTCTTCCTTTTTAACAACGACAACAATGCAGAGTCATTAAGCATGATCGGTCCATCATACACGCTACGCTAGTCAATATTTGAAAATTGAAAAAGGAGACACTACCTGTCTACCCGAAGTAAAAGTCCTCCACTCTAGTCCAAAAGTAGCATTTTTTTCTCGGCGTAAAAATGAGTGATTTATTTAAAAAGAAAATATAGAAATTAAGTGGACAAAAAAAAAAAA